TCCACACTGATATATACATACACACACACATATATATATATATATATATATATATATATATATATATATATATATATTCCCTGAGAATAATCTTAAAATAGTAAGAACCTTGATGGTAACTAACTATGTATAGTTTTGTTGCAGTAGCTAGCTAGCTAAGAAGATGATCAGGGTTTCTTTCTTCTGTTGCGGAAAAGAAAGAAAAAGAAGGAAAGACGTCTTTGTTTGATGAGAATAAACGTTATGAATAAGGTTGCATGCTCACGTTTCTACACAGTAGAAGATGTTGATATAATTATTCAAAAGTGAGAGGAAGAATCTAATATATATATATGATTGAGGTTATGTGGGACAACATGCCTTGGAAACAAGATGGAATAGATTGGAATCAAAGAGAGAGAGAAATGATCATGTTGAAGAAGGACGTCACGAAAAGCAAAAGCTGCTAGGGTAACAGAGAGAACATATTCACGCCTAGACATGTGGGCATCATCAGCAACTATCTATGCTATAGTAAAAGCTTGCTTGGGATTCTGAGCCACACCACAAAACCTACCTTTAGTTCTTCTCTTCTCATGCTACTTCTACTAATACTTGTCTTCTGGTGGACCTCATCCTCTTTCTTCGAAGTTTCTTTGCTTTTATCATCAGACGCTCTGTGTCTCTGTGTATATATGTGCATTACCATAGCCCTACACATTTTTTTGATCACTATCCCATCACTATACTACGACCAACCGACCAACAAAAACCACCCTCCACTGCGAGAGATTCGCTTTTTTGACTATCTTGTGACACCTTTATTCCTTCTAGTAAGCAAGCAATTACCTAGCTTTGAAACTTGCAAAAAAGCAAACCACACCCAAACTCCCAGATTCCATCTCTAAAAGCTTCCTTCAATTTATCATCTCACTGACATATCGTAACCATGATTAGCTTATGACAAATCTGCTTTACCAGATTCATTTCCTTCTGTCTTTATTCTGTTATTACCTTGTAACAGCAAAATTAAGGAATAATGATGACAGATGAAGGCTGAGAATATATAGAAAAGAAAACCAAAATTTAAGTATGTTTCTTGCTCTTTGTCTTGTACGTAGTAGTAGTACCTCGCATTTGATGATTATTTCAAGTTTGTTTTATTCTTTGTCTTGATTAGCTCTTTTGTTTTGGAACTGAAGTCAGATATATATAGAGTTATAGTGCTGAAAGAGTTGCATGGTTTTGAGTGGTGTTTTGGCGTTTCTTTAACAAGAAATGAAACATGTCCTCCTTTTCCATCGTTAACGCTCTCAGTTCACACATACAAAACAAGGAAGTACGATAGATCCGTTTGGTCAATTTCCTTATAATTTGATAATAATTTTCCACACCATATTAGTACATATTCGTATTGCTACAATTCTACCAAACCAACGTGACTCTTCTCTCACTCCCTTGGTCCCAATTTGGATCCATTCAAACTGCTTTTTCTGTGAAAGGTTAAAAATAAGTAATCAAGATGAAAAAGGGCTGCTCCAAATATCAGACCAATTAATATTTAGATGATTTTAAAAGCAAGTTGAATGTACCGGCAGAAATGGGTCAGATCAAACTAGAGCTTAAACATGACAAAATCAATGCACGATCGTGGAAAAAATGTTTCATGAAACTGAATCTCATGCACAATTCGTTACAACCTTGCTAACCCTCCAAAAGTGGGAGTTTCCAGACTTTAAAGTTTGCATTGCCCTTTGAAAATCAGGAAAAAGATATAATGGATTCCAACTTGGTATAATGTGTTGGTAAATGTGTCTTCAAAACTCATTTTCTTTCTCTGTATCTCTCGTATGCATTTCCTTTGACTTTCTAATTGTGGTTATATATGCATATATATATCGATCAGTGTGCTAGAATTTCTTTGACATTGTTATACTCAAACACGACCATTACTTTTGTTGTTGGCAATTCCATTATCGGCACAGTGTTCATACATGCATAAATATTATAGTTTATTTATGATACTGAGATTAATGAAAACTAAAAGGGGTAAGAAGTCAGACACATTAATGTTCAAAGTTTCTGAACTTACATTATGCCTGGTGCAAATCGTCAAAGAGAAAATATAAAAGTGACATCACCACCATATAAAGAAAGCCTTCTAGACTAGTCCAAATAGCTTCACACAATTAGTAAAATTAACCGCTCATGTCATCACAAAACATGCATATAAACAAATACACCAATATACCTTCGCTCATCATGTTCATACTTGGAGTACAACATAAAATATCAACGACATATCCAGCGTTGGAGAAAGGAAATTACTTGAAGAGTTGCGTACCATTTTCTCGTCTAGATGTAACACAAAGTGTTTCTGAACTTCCTGTCTTTCCTTCTCATTTATCCTCGTATGCATAAAGGTAGAATTCCATTCCAAAGTTAGCAAGTGATTCTAACTCTTATACATTCGATCATGCATTACTATGATGATCATAAAAATATCTGTGGCGACTAGGAAACCAAAAGCTGTAGAATTGAAGTGGCTTAATTTTTCAAGGATCACAACATGTGGTTATTTGAAGGAGTGAAACAAGGAACTTCACTCCATGCATTGCCACTTCCATTCCAAAGTGCATCATTTCCCATCAAGAGATTTTTTGGCAAATTCAAACCTTGATTTTCTTCCATCTTTATCGTGTTAACCTGAGGCATCAACCCACTCAGACTAGAAATAGAATCTATTTTAGACCGAATGTTAAACCGGCCACCTTCCTTTGCATAACTTGGCGGTTCAGCATTGTTATTTTCTCCACCACCAAACTGAAACAACCCAATCTGCGGCTCTAGATTAGTGCTCAAAAAAGCGAACTGCTGCTGAACTTGTTGCAGATTGTTCAACCTCCATTGCTCACCGAGGCCATTTGACAACATAGCTCCACCACTGTTACCAAGCGATGAAGCTGAACCAGTACCGATTTGAAACTCAACATCGCTGCTATTTCTACCCACCAAAGGTGTTGTTGTGATCGTCCCAAAATGAGATCCAATGCCCCCAGAAACGTAGTCACTGTTGTAATGATGCAAGGAGGTTAAGAATGGAAATTGAGTTTGTGTTGGAGTTGGCAAGTGAGTCATCATCACATGATCAGTGGTGCAGCCACTGGAAGAAGAATTAGCACTTGCAGAGGTAGAACCTGTCGAGGGTTTCATGGGAGACTTCGATCTACCGCCGCTTCCTTTGTTTCTCTTGTTCCTTCTGCAACCACCTCCAACCGGCACGTTTCTGAGTGCACCTCCTCTGGTCCAGTAGCGACGGCAAGTCTTGCAAAAGTGGCGGGGCTGTGAAAGGCTATAGTTGTTGTAGTAGCAAAACTTGGTGTTAGCAGATTCACACCTCGGACATTTCAGTGCTGCATCAGGTTGGTGTATCTTTGCCATTCTAGCTCTATCAGCCATTGATCCCGGCCTAATTGAGCCCTGGTAGCCGCCACCACCGCAACCACCACCTCCAATAGCAGCCGTCACCGATGAAGGTGGCGGCTGCAAAGGTGGCGGAATATGCGGATTCTGGGTGGCAATTCCTGCTGGCTGATTAGGCTGCTGCGAATTTTTTTCACAAGTGAGCGAAAAAAGAAAAAACTACATAATTGAGTGTACACATATACAAAGAGTATATTCAGGAAAAAATATAAAAAAAAAAAGATTGATAAAGTTGTATGAGTAGGAATATTTGATGTTGTGATTAATTGCTTTATTGATGAAGAAGCTAAAGAAAAAGGAAAAGAAATTGAAGAGAATGAAAGAATTAATCCTTGCCTGTTGTGACCAGTTGGGTGGATCTAGATAGATTGGAAGGGACGGGAAGACCATAGCTCTTGTTAATTAGAGAGCTTTCTTTCTCTTTTGTAAAAGTTTGATGGGTTCTTTCTTTGGTGCTGTGTGGGTGGAGAATCACATCAACATGAGAGAGTTGCAGAGAAAGATATCACAGGGGACGGGAAAAAGATAAAGGAGCTTGTGCTGTGTGGGGGTGTTTCTATATATATATATATATATTACTTTTCTTCTTAATTTTTGCTTTCTCTTTCTTTTTGTTCCTATTAAAATTATTGGAGGATTATGGAGGAGCACCGAAGCAGTTTCTTATTCCATAACACTTTTTTCTCTTCTGCTTTTACTGTGGCATTAGCGTTAAAGATTTTACTCTCCAATGGCCATGCATGTTGTAAGAGTTAAAAGAAAGAGAAACCCTAGCCCTAGGTTTAGATTAACATATTATATATAAAGAAGTTGAAAAACAATTTATTAGAATATGATAAGTTGGAATTGAAAAGCAAAAAGGTGTTGAGTCATGGACTCATGGTGGGGAGGTCATCGGTGGATGCGTCACAATCGAATGTACCTTTGTTTCCCTTCCGCCAGCTCTTGTTCAGAAAAAAGTGTTCATTATTTTTTTCATTCTTTATCTCGTTAAGCTTTTCTTCGGCAACAGCTTTTTCCTTTTTTTTTCTGTCAAATTATTCATTAATACATGTCTATCATACAAAAATACACACCTTTTTTCATATTTTCATACACTTATTTACCATTTCACTCATGCCATTAGATCACTTTTTATCAGATTCAAACATTTGATGAAGATGTAGAATGTACTCAAAACTAGCATTCCAAGTGAAAGTTTGTTTTTTTAAGCAATGAAACTTTGTTTCTAGATTGTTGGATATCAAGTGAAAGTCTTGGAAATTGGAAGTTTATTTATTATGGAAAATGTTATTTGGACAACAAAAGTTTGACACAATTTTGACAACGGCGACGTGGCAGCTGTGCATTGGCTCAGTGAACCGGGGTGAGGGGTATTTTGGGTTTTTTCTGGTTTGTTTTCAATTCACTGAGCCAATGCACAGCTGCCACGTCACCGTTGTTAAAATTGTGTCAAACTTTTGTTGTCCAAATAACATTTTCCATTTATTATATATTACATGGGAGGAAAAAGAAAAAAAAAACTCATACACACATATATATGAAGAAAATAAAAATATGCATTAAACTTTTGCACTTTACACTTTTAATGTAGTTAGGTGAGATGATTTCAACTAGTTGGGTCTAGAAGAAAGAGAGGATATATATATATATGATTGATAAAGGTTCGAGTTGTCATAAAAATATTGAGTATATACTTTATTTTCAACGTGATTTTTCTCTGATGATATACATGTGAAAAAGTTATAACAAAAAAATTAAGGTTTTTAAGTATTTTTCTCTCTTGAAATTTAACACCGTTAGCTCATACGAGTTAATAACTTTTTGTTGTCTTTCATATCAGTAAATTGTATTGTTTTATGTCTCGTCATTTTTCCTTAGAAAAAGATTACTTGATTAACGCAATTTAATTAGATTAATTATGAGAAATCAAATCATCGGGAAATAATTATAATATCAAATACTTTCATCTAAATTTTTATTTTTTTTTGGAAACTCATGATTACATTGAAAGCTATTTTTGCTTTTGACACCATCCTTAAATTAAACTCATGATTACATGCTTTGTCAATATACTCATTAAACTTGGAAGGTAATTAAACTGAAAATCATTCTTCAATCACAAATAAAATTTAGACATGATTGGAATTTTATTCATATCAATTCAGGTTGTTGTGCAATTGAAATATTTAATTTAAAGTAATGAGAATGAATTTAGCAAGTTTAATCTAAGATTAATCCCATGTAGAACAATTTGCGAGTCGTTTCTTAAATATTATATCAATATATAAATCTATATGGTCAAGTGTACGGGTACTGTATAGATTTTTTTAATAAATTTAAAAATAACCAAACTACAATTATAATTTTTAATATTTAAAATAATAGTTATATGAATTATTTTGATTAATTAATCATGTATATATAAATAATACTCGAATAATTTTGCGGATAAATATTTAATCTCAGTTTCATTTTTCATCGAGTGAGTTTTATCCTATTTTTTTATCCTGGTTCTTATCTATTTCAAAAATTTGAAAATTTCTTAAACAACATGTTAAAAGGACTACAAAAATATTAAATTAAAAGGACAAAGCAATACTTAAGTATAAAATAAAGCGTGTATATCTATTTTAACTAAAAAAACTTTTGATTATTTTTCTTTAATTTTCTTTCATTATTCGTATTTTGTTCTGAAAATTTCCTCAAATTTTTTAAACAACGCAACTAGAAATTTGAATCTTAATTTGCACTTCCAAGTTTTTTTAATTATCATCACAATAATACATAATTTTAAATTCCAGTGACTATTAATTTTGTACTTATTATCATCATGTTTGAAAGAAAATAGTGATTTGTGTTACCACTGAAGCACTAAATGTACGTTATGGTCGTCTGCCAAACTATGTTGAAATTGAAATGACGGATTTTGAATAGACAGTGATGGAAGGGCTGTGCTCACTTCAGACAAAGAAAACGTGCAATATAACATCCTTGTCAACTTTTAAGAATATTAACGTTGCTGGTTAATATAATGTCTAAGATTAATGTACTGTTGTTAGATAAATTTTAACATCAACTTTAGTAATTATATGTTCATTGTCGAGACCAGATTCTTGATAATTATTTGGAGATTAGCTGTGAAAGATATCGACTTGACTCACGAGTTAGACTATAATCTTGAGCTAAGTTAACTTAATTATGTTTTTTTATAATTAGTTAGAAAATTTTGAATCCGGTTTGACCAACTATAAATAGATAAATTGACTTACTAAATTTATGAAAGTATAATGGGTATATATTTTAATACTTAATTAATATTAAGAGTTTTTGTTTTTTTATTGTATTTTTTAGTATGAAAATATGGTTATTTGTATGTGAGATTATAACTCTCTAACTTACTTATTATAACTTGGTTTAAACTTATTTAGTTAAGTAAATAAGTTGATTTTCAATTTATAATTGAAAAAAAAATCATTTTTCTAATCCAATATTTTCTATGTCATCTATTAAAGTATTAACTCATGATAACTAGGAAGAAAACATTTATTACTGTTAAACCCATGTATGTTAAGATTTGAAATGACGACTATAAATATTTTAGGTGAAAGTTCTAAGTTAAAATATATAAAAGCTGACAAAACTAAAATTAAAGTTAATAAATCGATTATATAATAATTTTTAGGGAATGTTTTGTATCTAAGCCATTTACTGTTAATTTTGTTTTTGGTTTCAAAACTTAAATTAATGAATGAGTAATTATTTTAGGCACTTATTGCATTTAAACTCAATATTCATAATTAAAGTTTTTATCGTAAAGTTTAGAGAAAAAAATATATTAATATATTTTTAAAGTTTAACAACTAATTGATAATTTAAAAGATGGATGAACAAATATTTTGAAAAAAAAAAAGAATACATATATGGTTCTTAATCTAACATTAAATTCATATAACAGAAACTATATATTAAAGTTAATAAAGAAAATTACTACTTGTCATCATGTTCAAATAAAAGTAATTAAAAAAGATATTAAGTCATTTTGGACAGTTATTTACATAATAATATACTGGATACTTCTATTTTATAGTAAATAAATATAAATAATAAAAAATCATTTTTTTGTCTAAAAGTTAGGTCCCACGTCAGAAAGAAAACCTTAAAGATTTTTGTTTTCAAGAAAATGCATATTATATATAAAAAAATCAGATAGTTCTTCTCTAAGTGTGATGATTGACATATAAATTCAAATTATTTACATTATAATAACAATATTTAACACATATAAGACTTTTATACTTAATATTATTTTTTACTTTCTTCTTTCATAAGAAAATACAAAAAATCACTTTTGAAAACAGAAAAATGTTTTATAGCTGTAATTTTAAGATTTCATGAGTTTTTTATTTTTATTTTTTCCTTTAGTCTAATTATTTTTACCTTTCATTTATCTTTTGCTAAAAAATGACAAAATACATTGGATCAACTAAGTAAATTCAATGTAAAATTTGAGCACAAAGTAAATTTGAACATTTTCATAGTCCAACTTAACCATGCCCTAATATGCACCTAACCCACAAAACCAGTATTAACTAACTTTATTTTAGAAGTTTGAAACGAATCTATGAAGTTTTTATTTGACTCATGATACCGAGCTTGAACTTCAAATTTTGAACAATAATTAAATCTAGTTTTTTTTTTTTTTTAACCTGATTGAAACATAAATCTGATTTATGCCTAACCTACTAAAAAATCATGCAAAGTAGGTTTCTAAACTTAGACTCGTTTTAGAAGTTCGATGAATAGAATATGATTTTTTTTTACCTAAGCCACTATAGCCTTCAAATAGGTTTGATTTAAACACAAATTATTAAATTATGATCTTTTTATGCTAAATTTGGGCTTAGACATATAATTAAATCAAATTTATTTATCGAGCCTTGTGATCGATTTGAACGCATTCCCCATCTTTTTCTTGGTTACACATCAATAGAGAATTTATGTGGTAATATAGAAATTCAATTTTTTTCTCCTATATATTATAAAACATGGTACTAATACTTTATTTGTTTATTTTTTTATTACTGATAATGATTAAATATATAAATTTTAAAAACATTAATTTTTCTCTCACATATTACTTGGGCTTCATCTTATAAGTTTATATTTTTTTTTCTTAATTTGAACGTGGATGTTTCCAAAACAAAACGAGGAAAAAAATTAGGGAAGAAAAAACTTATCTCTTTTGTGATTGATTACTCCAAAGTTAAGCATATACATTATAAACTATAGTAGTCAAGTAAAAAATTAAGAAAATAACCATATTGAAAAAGGTATAAACTATGATTGAGATAAAACTGTAGCATGTACATTATAAACTATGATTCTTTTGAGTAATTATAGCTTTAAGTGAAAATGTATAACTTTAAACTATAATATTACTTCAAGAAACTATAACATATATTAGTATACGAAAAACATAATATATATTAACGTGATAACATTTTTTAAATATAATGTAAAAAAATATATTATAAATTCCTTGAAATAACTATAATCTAAAGCTAAACTGTCTAATTTTAAATTGCAATTTCTCCAAGCAACCATAGCATATTCTGTTATATGTTACCATTGTATTTCAATCATAACTTATTTTTTTTACAATATTTCAAATAAATCATGTTTTTGGTATAACAATAATTATTTGTATAAATTATATACTTTAGTGTATAGGCATGCAAATCCGTTATCAAATTTAATTTAATTTAATCAGTCTCCTAGTATTAACGTAACAATAAGGATACCATTCATCCTAAAATTTTAGAAATATATATATATATATAT